ATGTATGTATAATAATGTATATATGTACATATTTTTTTTAATAAAAATTAACTAAAGTATATATTTTTTAAAATTCAGTAATATTCATCAGACAGAAAAAAGGAATCGAAAGCTTTTCATATATATATATATATAAGAACATCAACATTTATTTCACATGATATAAAACAGATGAAATATGAACATTTGCATATTGACTCGGATACATAACCTCTGCTCTGCTCATTGTATGGTGTACAGTATATACATCATGAACTTTACAGTTTATACATCGAAGTTGAACACCAAACCCTGCTTATTGCTTTATCAACTGTTTTAAACGCTCGCTCCTCGTGTGCTGTTCTCCTCAAACTAAAGCCGACCTCTGGAATGCTCCTCTTAAAACTCTAATACTCTGTACTCGTCTCTCTAGTTAAATATATCTCAGCCATAGAAAAATAAAAGGTAAGCTGGAACATTCATGAGTGTGTCGGGAAACAGTGCGGTGGCTATTGCGGACTATCCAACATACAGATCATTTACAAACCGTCCATCGGCAGCAGTACGGTGCCACCGTATTGAACGTTTATAGCTGTACATCGTTTATACACAAATCGTCTGATATCAAAAAAGAAACGATGGGTGTCGGACAGTGCAAAAGATAGGAGTTCTAAAAATCGCTTCGACCAACACTAGGTCAAACCGGGAGCGACTGATTAAAATCCATATAAAACAAGCCAACGATGAACACGACCCTCGGCAGACTGAATAAAACCAGTGCGTTTATGGGCTTTGTACGCTCCACTTCCTGTTGACAGTGAGTCTGGGCGCTGTAATGTACATCAGCGAGGGTTTGATAGCACCTCAGACGCGTCTGCACACCCAATCAAACAATAAAACTCTGGCATCTACAGATGCTTCAGGAAACTCAAGAGAATATAAATAATAATCACTATAAAAGAATGGTTTGAACTAAGGCCTGGACGTCGCTGTGTGAATTATGCTAGTATTTTTTGAATACTGAATTTAATTTATGCTGATTTTAATTTTAAAAAGGCATCCAAATGGGATGATTTTCATGACTCAGTTTAGAGGAAATTGTGTCTAATTGTCAAAATAATGTCATAATGAAAAAAAAAAAACCTTAACTGCCCCAAAAGCATTTTCGTTATGTAAAATACAACTGATGTTTTTCTTTTGATTTTGGAGTGAAATGTGACTCTGACATTTCTCTGTGAACTTCATACTGCTGTGCAAAACAAATGCAATCTTCATGCAGTCAAGAAGAATTTTTAGCAGTTAAATAATGCAGTACTTTTTATATTTACATCATAACACCCGAGTTATGTTTTCATCAAGTAACACAAATTGCCTTTATGTTTGACTTCACTTACTGACAAAAACAAATTAAAATCCTCTCCGTTCCACAGAACAGCAATTAAAAGGTATGTGTTCATGCAAGTAATACAAATCATAACAAACAATGTTTATATTGTCGATAGAAATATCAGGATCGCCACCAAATATATTTTTGCTCAGTTTGGGCCTCTGAATAAAATTGATACATATGGGGAAAAAAAAGTATATATATATCTTCATGTGCATGCGCATGTTGTCATGTGCAGTGGCATCTGAATGACTCTTAATTGCACTGTTAATTAGTGAAGCTTTATGCTCACTGAGACTCTATGAAGCTAATGAACTCTAGTTGGGAGGCTAATTACTGCTTCATTTTTAGAGGATCCTTCATTTTCCTCCGAGAACAGACAGATTATTACACACACACACACACGCTTGTATTTATGATGCACTAAAATCCCTCAGAAAGCATCTCCTGTCGGACTGATTTTATGAGCAGATTTATTACAAACACTTACCGAGAGCACTGAATAAAAACAAGATTCAAACAAACACGGTGACGTCTGCGGTGAAGTGAGTCAGACTGTGTGTGTGTGTGTGTGTGTGTCTTACTCGTCTGTCTCTCCGCTCACACACACATGAAGTGCGATCCGTCCGTCAGCTGTGGGGGGGAGGGCGGAGGCGGGGGAGAGGAGGAGGAGCTTGGAGATTGGGTCGGAGTCGACAGACTGTTCACTGCAAAACCCACAGCGCATGCAGACAGACAGACACACGCAGGCACGCACGCACGCACACACACACACACACACACACACACACACACACACACACACACCATTACATTTGTTATTGTGTTTTGGGAGGGGTTCTATTGTTTTTTTTTTCAGCAGGCAATATTATAATGGTATAACTACTTTTACAGAATTAACTTCATTACTGAATTTCACAGAAAATATTTGTTTATTTTTTATATATATAAAGAACTGTATTTCTTAAGTCAATTATTAAAGTATTACATTGATTTATTCATTTTAAGTATTTGGGGTTTTAAGAGCAAGTGGAAAATGTGCTGAATGTTTCATTTCATCCAAGTGAAATTAGCAAGCAGTTAGACTGAATTTACATTCGTTTTAAACGCGGAGCCAGGCGCGAGTCGACACAGGTTGCGCGCGTGCGTCAAGCCTCATCCATACTGCCAGATGCGCTCGTGGAGACTTGCGGAGCCGGGTGCGAGTATAAACGAGCATTACGAGACAGGCTGCGTGAGTGCGGCAAGCATGAACGGCTCGTCCGTGACGCGGGATTCACGCCGCGTGGGGCAGAGAGGAGCGAGTATGAGAAGCATTCACAGACACAGGCTGTGTGTGCGCTCTTCTGAGTTGGGAATAGCCAACATGCATTATAAACTTATTTCAAATTAATCTGTTGGGGAGATAAAATGTGTAAGATAACGTTCACGTACTACTACTTTTATTCTCCAGTACTGAAAACAGAACCGATAAGGGAGCTTTTGATATGCGCTGTGACGCAGCTCTTGCAAATTACCTTTTTTGTTCGTTGTCTGTCATTTCGAAGCTTAAGTTGCATACGGTTTTCTTTAGTTTTAATTTGCCTAACTATCGTAGACGCCATAATCCCACTCTGTCTCTCTCCCGTCCCGCTTACTGTTTTTATTTATTTATTTTTTTTAATGGTGGGTGTTTACACAGTTGGCTAGAGCAGTGCTGATTGGGGAGAACGAAGGTGCGCTTACTCTTGACCAGGGCAAGTAAGACTGCAACTCAAGGCTGGTAGTCATGCATATGCTCTGGAACAGAGTAATATCGTGTCCACATCGCAGGCTTTGCGATTAGGAAATCGCAATGTCTCAAATCGCGATTTCGATTCGATTTCGATTAATCGCACAGCCCTAATATGTATTTATGTTAAATATATAAATAATATAAATGAAATAATTCATGTAAGGGTGGTCACAATACCAGTGCCAATAATAGTTCACCATTCTTGATCCCAGTTTTAATACCAATGCAATATCAATATGCATTAATAAAAATTGGCACATATAACACATAATAATAATAATAATATTATAAAGCTTGACCTAACCAAACCAGAATATTATATATAATAAATTTAATATTTTGCTTATATGACCATGATCAACTGTTTCTTTTAGCAGTGTTATTTTAGTATCATTAAGATGTTTTTTATTCATAGCTTTAATTAGGTTGTAACATTTTCCATTTTTATTTTCATTTTACAGTTTTAGTGCGCCTTTGACATTTATTGGTTAGTAAGACTGCAACTCAAGGCTGGCAGTCATGCATATGCTCTGGGACAGAGTAATATCGCGTCCATATCGCAGGCTTTGCGATTAGGAAATCGTAATGTCTCAAATCGCGATTTCGATTCGATTTCGATTAATCGCACAGCCCTAATATGTATTTATGTTAAATATATAAATAATATAAATGAAATAATTCATGTAAGGGTGGTCACAATACCAGTGCCAATAATAGTTCACCATTCTTGATCCCAGTTTTAATACCAATGCAATATCAATATGCATTAATAAAAATTGGCACATATAACACATAATAATAATATTATAAAGCTTGACCTAACCAAACCAGAATATTATATATAATAAATTTAATATTTTGCTTATATGACCATGATCAACTGTTTCTTTTAGCAGTGTTATTTTAGTATCATTAAGATGTTTTTTATTCATAGCTTTAATTAGGTTGTAACATTTTCCATTTTTATTTTCATTTTACAGTTTTAGTGCGCCTTTGACATTTTTATTATACTTTTTTTTTTTTTAACATGCCCATATAGTTTTTAATCATTTATTTATTTCAGTTTTAGTTACTGTATTTTGCTACACAAAGGTAAACTAAATAAATTTGAGAAATGTTTCCTTAGCAACTGGCTGGAATAAAATAAAGTTTAAAAAAAATATATATTTTATTTTATTTTAGTTAATGTTTATTTTATGTTTATGTTTTAGTTAACTATAACAACCCTAGGCAAACTTTAGTAGTAATATATATATATATATATATATATATATAAAATTCTCTCTCTCAATATATATATACAGTATATATTGTAAATATTCATATATTTAAATTATTATATGCAATTATTATTACATATTAATATCATACTTCAAGTTTTTCCAGGACAGCTGGTCTTGGAAATGTTTGTTTGTGTGTATTTACATTTTTATTATTCTTTTTTTTTTTTTAACATGCCCATATAGTTTTTAATCATTTATTTATTTCAGTTTTAGTTACTGTATTTTGCTACACAAAGGTAAACTAAATAAATTTGAGAAATGTTTCCTTAGCAACTGGCTGGAATAAAATAAAGTTTAAAAAAAATATATATTTTATTTTATTTTAGTTAATGTTTATTTTATGTTTATGTTTTAGTTAACTATAACAACCCTAGGCAAACTTTAGTAGTAATATATATATATATATATATATATATATAAAATTCTCTCTCTCAATATATATATACAGTATATATTGTAAATATTCATATATTTAAATTATTATATGCAATTATTATTACATATTAATATCATACTTCAAGTTTTTCCAGGACAGCTGGTCTTGGAAATGTTTGTTTGTGTGTATGAATATGTACCTTGTTCTCCAAGTTGGCATTTCCAGATTCCACATCTTCAGTATTCTTGCAGTTTTCTTCTGCATCGGTCGGTTTGGTCGTCAGCTGTGGTTGCTCCTCAGGCGACGTGTCTCTGCGGTCGTCCTGCTCATCTGGAGAGATCACCGGGCTCTTCTTACGCATCTGAGGGAACAGAAGAGGAAGCGATAAACAAGAAACCCTGGAGACGTTCACAGACGTCCATTCTAAAGCCTGGCAGGAACACAGCGAGCCGGAAAACTGCAAAGTGCAGCGCTGTGGGGAATCATCAGCAGCACAGTGACTCATGGCTTTGAACCGGACAGAGCAGGTTTATGAGAGGAAGAGCCCTCCGGACTAGAGGCATAATGGGAATGTGACACGGATGGTCCGTTATTGATGTATTCATGTCCTGTGGTAGTCTGAGCTGCTTCACTCATGTGAGACAGTGCAGGTCACGGCCGAGCATTTATAAACCTCAGATGATACAGTCAACTAACAGACACAGGTTTATTGTCATATATATAACAGGTTTACGGTGTCATATTTCTGTCCTCCAAGTAAAACAGCAACAGGAGGCAACAAAATTCCCAGCCAATAACAACATACACTATATTGCCAAAAGTATTGGGACACCTCCTTCTAATGAACAGGTTTGACTACTTCAGTCATTTCCATGAGCACAAATCTTAATGTTTAAGCATATAATGATATTCTAGAGTATTGTGTGCTTCTAATTTTATAGCAACAGTTAGGACAGGACGCTTTTCTGTTCTAACACGACAGTGCCTGAGTATAATGCAAGGTTAAAAAAGAAATGATTGATTGAGTCAGTGTGGAAGAACTTGACCGGTCTGCAGAAAGCCAGCTGTGACTTTAAAGGCAGACCTCGAGCCAAAAACTCATCACTAAACACCAATGACTTGTACATACACTATATGGACAAAAGTATTGGCACACCCCCTTCTTTAGAACAGAAAAGGCACTTCCAAAACTGTGGCAGCAAAGATGGAAACATAATTCATGTATTTAAAAAAAACACCTGTGACTTGTACATATGGGTACAGTCATTTTAGACACTTCCAAAACTGTGGCAAAAAAGATAAATCTCTTTAAATACATGAAACTCATCACCAAACACCTGTGACTTGTACATACATATGGACAAATGTATTGGGACACCCCCTTCTTTAGAACAGAAAAGGCACTTCCAAAACTGTGGCAGCAAAGATGGAAACATAATTCATGTATTTAAAAAAAACACCTGTGACTTGTACATATGGGTACAGTCATTTTAGACACTTCCAAAACTGTTGCAACAGAGATGGAAATACAATTTTTAAATACATGAGTCATGTTTCCATCTTTGTTGCCACAGTTTTGGAAGTGTCTAAAATGACTGTACCCATATGTACAAGTCACTGGTGTTTGGTGATGAGTTTTTGGCTCAAGGTCTGCATTTAAAGTCACAGCAGAGGTGTTTAGCTGGATTTCTGCAGACCGGTCAAGTTCTTCCACACTGACTCAATCAATCATTTCTTTTTGAACCTTGCCTTATACACAGAGGCACTGTCATGTTAAAACAGAAAAGCGTCCTGTCTAAACTGTTGCTATAAAATTAGAAGCACACAATTCTCTAGAATAACTTTATATGCTTAAATATTAAGATTTGTGCTCATGGAAATTACTAAAAATAGTCAAACCTGTTCATTAGAAGGGGGTGTCCCAATACTTTTGGCAATATAGTGTATCTCATGTTTAAAATGCAGAAATTACAAGCTGGCTAGTGTATTTTTAAGCACATAAACTCTGGTACCTGTAGGGTGTAGTAGGGGTTGTCTTTGGTGAAGGAGAGGCTGCGGGACAGCGATCCGTCCTCTCGTCTTCGTTCACGCAGCGCCCCTAGCTGGTGCCTCCTGATTCGCTCCATCTGCTCCTCCACGGTCATGCGTGTTCGGCCCACCTCTACAGCGCTGCTCATGTGCTCCACCGCACTGCGCGGACGGTCCTGCGGCTGGGACTAAACACACGCATATTACACTGTACATGCATACACAAATACATATATATACTTCACAGTATATTATACAATTATACTATATTAAACAAAACAAAATGTGTATATTATATGCATAAACAAATACATATATATTAAACAAATGTTCATGTAAAATACTAAAATTCTATATTAAGCAAAATAATTTTTAATGTATAATTATCATACAAATATTATTACATAATATAGTATTTCCATTAATATTATATATATATATATATATATATATATATATATATATGTATGCGTATTA